ACACACACACACACACAGACACACACACACACACACACACACACACACACACACACACACACGTGTACAAACATTACAGTTGAGCTCTACCGTACACCAATTGTCTATTCATACACATGTACGCACATTACAATTCACCTCTAATGTATGCCCCAATTGCCTATTCACATACACATACACACATTACAATCAATTTCCACCGTGCTCAAATTGTCTATTCGCACACATGCACACACATTACAACTGACCTCCACCATACCCAAATGTTCTACTCACACACATGTACACACATTACAATTCACCTCTACCATGTCCATTCGTCTATTTGCACACATGTTCAGACATCAGATTTGACCTCCACCAAACACCAATCGTCTATTCACACACACGTACGGTACACTCACTCACATAAACCGTACATGCCACACAAGTAATATCACTGGCAAATCCCTGGTCCACAGTCCGCACTCAGAATGGACGAGGTCAGAGGTCAGAGGTCAGAGGTTAGGTAAAGTCCAGTCGGCCGGTGATGAAATTTCCCAGCTCCCCCTGGTCGTCGGACCGGAAGTACTCGATGGACAGTTCGCGGAAGTAGGCGCTGTCGATTTTCTTCTCGTGATTCTGGGGAAGATAGGTTGTGTTGAGGTTATTTGTTTTAGTAAGGCTCTGTTCAGGTAAGTTATGGTGGGATTATACGGGCGCGAAGCATGGACAATAATTAGACAGCTGGAAAGAACAATTGAGACGACAGAGTTGTGATTATAAGACGCATGCTGCATATCTCATGGACAGCTAGAAAAACAAATGAAGACGTCTTGGTTGAAGCAAATTGCAGACAACAGCTTATGACGAATATACAGGCAAAGTTCATTGAACACACAATGCGGAAAGAAGCATTGGAGAATATTGTAACAACAGGCAAGTTTGATGGAAAGAGAGGCAGAGGCAGACTGAGCGAAAAGATACTGGACAGGTTGACAACATGGCTGGGAACAGCAAGAACAATAGACACAATCGCTGCACCACCACCACCAACAACAACAACAACAACACCAACACCAGTAAACATACCGCAGAGAAAAGAAGGAAGGCTGTCCTAGCGTCGCGCGGAGACACACCAAAGTCTCTGAGAACGTACTCAAACTCATCCAAGTCTAGCACTCCGTCACCTGGGGG